TTACCATCTGTTCTTGATTTTATGCTGTTGATCTTCTACTAATTGATCTATAGATCTGTTTTATTGTACACATTGTCGACTAGTTTTGTGATCAGTGAAGATTTAGCTTTTTTTTTTTTTCTCTTTGTGACAAAACATATGATTCGAATCTGTCTAAACAAAAATTTATAGTGTTGACATATGAATGGTTTAATGATATATGAATTTTTTTTTTTAATATTGTTGTATGTAAGGTTTTCCTTTGGATTCAACTTCAAGATATCTAAACATCTTCTTTTGTTGCAGAGTTTGTAGCCCTGAGGAAAAAAAAGAAGCATTCTTTGAAGAACAAAAGCAAGTCAAAATGGTAAAAAAATTTCAAAAGAAGAATAGATTTCATGATTCTACCGTTTTTCTTTTGATTTCGTTTACTTTGTGTTTAGGTCATCAACTCTTGTTTCTTCTTAGTACGAGCATGTTTTGACTGTTGGTGTACGCTATTTTAGTATCTAGTTGTCTATTGGCACAGTCAGGATTTGATGTTTTGGTGACTGGAGATGTTAGAAGCATCGTCTATGCAAAAGGGGTTTGTAGAAGTAAACTGGTAGTTCTTGAATATGGAATCTCATGGTGGTGTCTTGAAGCTAAAACTTCTGTTTTGTGTGGTTTTGTGGTTAGAAATACTGATAATAGTAACACCAATTTACTTCTGAAAGGATCCTTAGGCTGCTGATGATGTAGTGTCAGGAGTGAAAACAAGACTTTTTCAGAACTGTTTCTACTCTAGTGACAGATTTAGTGTGTATGATTCGTCGAATAGTTTCTTATAGCACCTGTTATTGTGATACTTCGTGCCTCCTTGCTCTAATAATCAGTTTTTTTCTTCTTCTTTTAGAACCTATTTTTGAAATTTTCATATACTGTCTTGATGACATGTTTATAGATGGATGAAATATGTATGCCGTGACTTCACAGTATCTGTCAGATTGTTTCTTATAGTGCATGTTATTTGGTATTAGTGATTGCAGATTCTATAACCGTAGAATCATGAATTTCCAATTATATGGTACCATCACGTGTTCTGTATTTAACTGAGTGTTGTTTCAATCTTGCAGGTGAAGTTTACTGGAGAGGAGCAACGGAAAATTATGGACCGGAAACATAACATCCGTAACATGTCTGTCATTGCTCATGTCGATCATGGTATGAATCTGATCTCTTTTAGTTTCGCTTTTATTCTTTTAATCTTTTGCTGTGGATATATGAAGTTATTCTCTTCTTCTTTTTTTACTGGTTTTATAAATGTTCGTTCTACATTCTGTTTTGTTTTAAACTCTTGTTGATCTACGTATATATTATGCTCAGCCTATGATTTCTATTAAATTTGATTCTAAATGAAAGTTTTAATTATGCAGAGCCTCTTGTTTTTATTAAATTTGATACTAATGCAACTTTTGATGTTTGAATGACGTAGGGAAATCTACACTTACCGATTCGCTTGTTGCTGCTGCTGGTATCATTGCTCAAGAATCTGCTGGTGATGTGCGTATGACCGATACACGAGCTGATGAGGCAGAGCGCGGTATTACTATCAAGTCCACTGGAATCTCTCTCTATTACGAGATGACCGATGCTTCTTTGAAGAGTTTTACTGGAGCTAGAGATGGCAATGAGTACCTCATCAATCTCATTGACTCACCTGGACATGTAGACTTCTCATCAGAGGTTACAGCTGCTCTGCGTATCACTGATGGTGCTCTTGTTGTTGTTGACTGCATCGAAGGAGTTTGTGTGCAGACAGAGACTGTTCTTCGACAGGCTCTTGGTGAGAGGATCAGGCCTGTTCTTACAGTTAACAAAATGGACAGGTGCTTCCTTGAGCTTAAGGTTGATGGTGAAGAGGCTTATCAGACTTTCCAGCGGGTTATTGAGAATGCTAATGTCATCATGGCGACGTATGAGGATCCTCTCCTTGGTGATGTTCAGGTTTATCCGGAGAAGGGGACTGTGGCTTTCTCTGCAGGTCTTCATGGTTGGGCTTTCACTCTGACAAATTTTGCCAAGATGTATGCTTCCAAGTTTGGTGTTGACGAATCTAAGATGATGGAGAGGTTGTGGGGTGAGAACTTCTTTGATCCTGCAACTAGGAAATGGACCAGCAAGAACACTGGTTCAGCAACTTGCAAACGTGGGTTTGTGCAGTTTTGTTATGAACCGATTAGGCAGATTATCAACACTTGCATGAACGATCAGAAGGATAAGCTGTGGCCGATGTTGGAGAAGCTCGGTGTTCAGATGAAGCCTGATGAGAAAGAGTTGTTGGCTAAACCTTTGATGAAGCGTGTTATGCAGACTTGGCTCCCTGCGAGTACTGCTTTGCTTGAGATGATGATATTTCACTTACCTTCACCACACACTGCGCAGAGGTACCGTGTTGAGAACCTGTATGAAGGTCCCCTTGATGATAAGTATGCAACAGCAATCAGAAACTGTGATCCAGATGGTCCTCTCATGCTCTACGTCTCTAAGATGATTCCTGCATCTGACAAGGGTAGGTTCTTTGCCTTTGGCCGTGTCTTTGCTGGTAAGGTTAGTACTGGTATGAAAGTGAGGATCATGGGTCCTAACTATATTCCTGGTGAAAAGAAAGATTTGTTTGTCAAGAGTGTTCAGAGGACTGTTATTTGGATGGGTAAGAAGCAAGAGACTGTGGAGGATGTTCCATGCGGTAACACTGTTGCTATGGTTGGGTTGGATCAGTTCATCACAAAGAATGCTACTTTGACAAACGAGAAGGAAGTGGACGCTCACCCGATTCGTGCCATGAAGTTCTCTGTCTCCCCTGTTGTTCGTGTTGCTGTGAAATGCAAGATTGCGTCTGATCTTCCCAAGCTTGTTGAAGGTCTCAAGAGGCTGGCCAAGTCTGATCCTATGGTTGTATGTGCAATGGAGGAGTCTGGTGAGCACATTGTTGCTGGTGCGGGAGAGCTTCACATCGAAATTTGTATGAAGGATCTTCAAGATTTCATGGGTGGTGCTGATATCATAGTTTCTGATCCTGTGGTCTCTTTGCGTGAGACGGTGCTTGAGAGGTCTTGTCGTACCGTGATGAGCAAGTCTCCAAACAAACACAATCGTTTGTACATGGAAGCAAGACCATTGGAGGATGGTTTAGCAGAGGCTATTGATGAAGGTCGTATCGGTCCATCTGATGACCCAAAGATCAGATCCAAGATCCTATCAGAAGACTTTGGTTGGGACAAGGATCTTGCTAAGAAAATCTGGGCTTTTGGACCTGACACCACTGGACCGAACATGGTGGTTGATATGTGTAAGGGAGTGCAGTACTTGAATGAAATCAAGGACTCTGTAGTTGCTGGATTTCAGTGGGCTGTTAAGGAAGGTCCTCTAGCCGAAGAAAACATGAGAGGGATTTGCTACGAGGTATGCGACGTCGTTCTCCACGCTGATGCGATTCACAGAGGTGGTGGTCAGATGATATCGACAGCGAGAAGGGTTATCTATGCGTCGCAGCTCACGGCTAAGCCCAGACTACTTGAGCCGGTTTACATGGTGGAGATACAAGCTCCCGAGGGAGCACTTGGAGGAATCTACAGTGTATTGAATCAGAAACGTGGTCATGTCTTTGAAGAAATTCAGAGGCCAGGGACACCTCTCTACAACATCAAGGCTTACCTTCCCGTGGTTGAGTCGTTTGGGTTCTCGAGTCAGCTAAGGGCTGCTACTTCGGGACAGGCTTTTCCTCAGTGCGTCTTTGATCACTGGGACATGATGTCCTCTGATCCGCTCGAGATAGGCTCGCAAGCGTCCACACTTGTTGCTGATATCAGGAAGAGAAAAGGTTTGAAAGAGCAGATGACTCCGCTCTCTGATTTTGAAGACAAATTGTAAGCAATGCGTAATTGCTCTTTCTCTTAATGACTCTTTCCTCTTAGGCTCGTTTACGGTTACTTTTTTGATCTTAGAATTATTCAGACCGTTTTGTATTTACTCTTTCATAGACCAGATCATCCAGAGTTTCAGAACTTGTTTTTCCCCCTTTTGATGAGATCAGTCACTTTCTTGATTTTTTTCTTGGGTGTTTGAGTTTGTTTTTGCAGCTATTCCATAAGTTTTTGTCTGGTACCTGAGTTGCTCGTTTATGACTTGTTTGCTCTGGAATTTGAATTTTCTTTACCCAGTTTTTCCTTTTAAATGTTAAACTTAAACTTACAATGATATTCTCTTGCTCTTATGTCTTGTTTGAGTATGTTTTGGTCGTAAATTTCTGTCTCAGCTTGGGCCGCATTCATGCTTTACAAACGATTGTTAACGTTAATGGATATTGGAGTTACTTCTGTGTTCATATTCTCTATTTCTTAGGCCCATTTTAAATGTTGTCTTGTTTACATCTTTTATTCTGGGTTATAAATCAGAACTTCGATTTGTATATATGATTATACTATGTCTTGGATGTCTACAAACTAGTGGAAGGGTAACAGAGACATGTGACACTTTGATTATTAAGAAATTGATACGAAAATCCATGTTTATAAAATTTGCAAGTTTATCATTGTGTTAGAAGTTCAGAAGCACTAACTTGTTCAATCCTTAATATTAAAATGTGAACCAAAAAAAAAATACTATACGATTGATTGGATCCTAGAAATGAAATAAGTGTGTCACAATCATCCAACTTAGGCATCTTGATTTTGTAGGGACTCAATCTTTATGGTCCATTTTTGTGGTGGATGGGGTCCATTTTTGCTTTCTTGATTCAATTAAGTAATCGTGTTGTGTTGTTGTCTTAGCCTGCTGGACACTAAGGACACCATTCATCCATCACTTCACATCATTCATCTTCCTTCCTTGCACCACTATAATCATCATCATTATCATAACTTTGGCACAAATATTTTAAACTCTTATTGGAATCTTCAATTGCATAAATCATCATAATCTATAGTGATCTTCGATTTTTAATAAATAAATCAAGAATATTCCATATGTATATGATAACCATGAGAGCTCTTGTTATCTTTATATTAGTGTCATCTTCGGCCTCAAGTCTTTGTCTTTAGTACTATTTTTCTCCTTTGACAAAGTAGCCGACGCATATCTTGTTTTTTCACATCACTTTAGCTTTTACCATATTCTCTATCTTGTGAATTTATTCTTCTTCGTATCATCATTGCATTGCTTTACACTTGTTGTTGAAATTTATATGGTTACAAAAAAGGGGTATACAAATTCTTTGAATTCAAGACTCCAATTTTTTTCTAGTCTATCAACATTGAAATTCCATATTGTGTGTTACTTTCCCACTTGCCCCCACTAAAGAACTATACATGATATTAATAGTGAGATTTTTGAAATTTTCTTCCTCGGTGGTTGGTTCCTAATGTGGACAATAACCAAACTATTTCCTCACCTTTTTTTCATCCATACGAAAGTACAGTCTTTACCCCATATATGTCTCATGTCTTGTAACTATCAAATATATCAATGTCAAGGCTTAACCATATATTGTTGTTTTTGTCACGGATAGAAACATAAACTTCTAATTACATCTCTTGTCTAAAACCACATGGTGTTTTGATATTTTGTACAATTTAGTGGGTGAGAGTTTGATATCTGCTTTGGTACAAATTTGATTTTCCCAAAATTATATCATTAACAAAAACAGGATTAAGCCAAGTGGGAAACAGTGGTATAAACTACTCCTTTAACTTTAAACCCTTGATATACTCTCACCTCTCTTTTCCAACTTCGTCTTTTTTGTTGTCCAATCCAAAGCACCTTTAGATCTATCACTATAATGTTTATAATTGTTGGTAATATGATGGATCCAAGATCTGACCAATAATGAATATTAATAAGTTATCTATTTGGTGGATTTAGCAAATGGGCAAAATTAATTATATTATATCAAATAGACATGCATATATCATACACCATAGAATAGGGAACGATATGTCGATTAATGATGTGCCATTTCTGTTTTGCTAAATGGTAAATATTTCAAAAATGAATCAGTTCAGGATTACATGGAAACATATGCATACAAAGTTTTCAGTCTGTCGCTCGATATAAACGCAAGGCTTATGGATCAACGAAGTGATGGCGATGTCTAGTGTTCGTACAAGATCAGTTGGGGCAGAGAAGGTCGCGGGCAAATACGAAGACCGCAAAGATCAAAACCAAATGCAATAGAAGCCGTTCAAGAGATGACCAAACAGGGGGATGTCAACGGCAGAGCCTTCAACGATCTCGATCACCGACTTCTCTCACATCGAATGAGAGCGACTAGAAGAACACTCCATAAACTAGACCCAAGAAAAAATCTCAAACTCCTTGTGCCCTTTCTATCTCTATAAGGTTCATCTCGTACGTAGATTTATGTGTTAATTACTAAACCTTTAATTTTGCTTTCCACATAAAAATACACTAATATTCTCGAGCCTATGTATTATAATGTTATAAATTTGGTAATTCTCAAATCATTTTATGTCATGATCCTTCAGCCAAAAGTAGTGATTCAATTTCTCTTGTTAGTATTTGATAAAAAAAATGTTTGGCACTAGAGTAAAGACACGGTATAATACTTTTAGAAAAAATTCCATCAGTAAGACCATCTCCAATGTACATCTCTATTTTTATCTCTAAAATAGAAAAAATTATTGCATTTTTCTATTTCTTTTCCTATGTGTCTCTATTTTAGAGGAATTGCTATAATATAGAAGAAAAATAGCATTTTCCTACTTTTACCTCTATATATAGAGGAATAGTACAATTTTCTCTTTTTTAGAGATAGAATTAGAGATGGGTTAGAGTAAATTTTACTATAAAATAGAGTTTAGGAAAAAAAATAGAGATAGGTTGGAGATGCTCTAAATTTGTTGGTTTGCAAATTGCAATGAACACGTTACTTTTTTTTTGTGTTGGTGTTTTTATTTTGAATGTAAAATG